CTAAATGTCTGATTTAGGAGCCACAATGGGTAAAGAAGGGGGTTTGGAATATTTTACATGTGTTAAAAATAAAATACAATAAATATACAAATAAAAAGAAATTGACCAACATGAAGGGCCTATACAGAGTCTATAGAGCCCCTCATGGCAAAGCAAATATGTCTGACACAGCAGTGCATTCAGACCATTATTCTGCTTGCTAAAGCTGCCGGACAGGACACATTTAAAAAAAAAAAAAAAGAAAACTATATATCACATGTATCAAGCCAAGAAGGATGACACATGCATTTGGGACACTTTGTAATCCTGCAATCATCTGTGTGCCCCCCACCTCTAACAGCCATCTGCAGAGCCCCCTTTGATTACAATCTTCAGTGTGTGGTGTTTCAGGTCATTGGGGTTCAGTTTGCCAACACTACAGAACACTACAGGATTTGAAGTGAAAGTCCATGTTAAAAAAAACTGAGTGGAAAAATATTGTGATAGCAGTAACTACAGAGTTATTCCATATCAAATCAACCAATTTTCCATAAATCTTACATACTTCAGTCTCACAAATTCAGAATAAATTCCATGTGCATCCATGCAGCCAATTCAGTGATGGGAGAGGGGTGTCAGGGTGAGTTTTTGATAAACTTCTCAAAATCATTTATCAATAACTAAACCACCTAGCAGGCTCCAATTATGCATACTGGTACCTTTATAGTTATTCTATTTAACAAAATCAAAATGTTTTATAGAGATGACCACTTGGTGAAAGCAGACCTTAAAATGGAAAAAACAATTCCATCTATAATGATATAGACACCAATATATAAAGTAAACTGGTGAAACTTGCAGATGACACCAAGGTGGGTGATGTAGCAGATACTGAACTAGCGGCTCAGCAGCTACAACGGGATCTTGATTTAATTAGTGACTGGGCCGATACCTGGCAGATGAAATTTAACATAGACAAATGTAAGGTACTCCATGTAGGGAGCAGAAATATAAAGTACAGGTATTTTATGGGACCTACTGAAATAAAGGTAGCTGATTATGAGAAAGACCTTGGTGTGTATGTTGATGCTTCCATGTCCCATTCTCGCCAGTGTGGGGAAGCAATAAAAAAAGGCCAATAGGATGTTGGGGTATATCTCCAGGTGTGTGGAGTTTAAGTCAAGGGAGGTAATGCTAAGATTATACAATTCCTTGGTGAGACCTCACCTAGAATATTGTGTGCAGGTTTGGTCACCATATCTTAAAAAGGACATTGCGGCCTTAGAAAAGGTGCAGCGTAGGGCCACAAGAATTCCTGGTCTTAGAGGAATGTCATACAAGGAAAGGTTAGTTGAGCTAAATCTGTTCAGCTTCAAGCAAAGGAGACTGAGGGGGGACATGATCCAGGTCTATAAGATTCTAACAGGTTTGGATGCTGTTCAACCAAATAGTTACTTCAGCATTAGTTCAAATAAAAGAACTCGTGGCCATAGGTGGAAATTAGCGGGAGAACATTTCAAACTGGATTTAAGGAAGCACTTCTTTACACAGCGTGTAGTCAGAGTATGGAATAGTCTTCCTGATAACATAGTGCAAGCTGAATCCTTGGGTCCCTTTAAATCAGAGCTAGATAAGATTTTAACAACTCTGAGCTATTAGTTAAGTTCTCCCCAAGTGAGCTTGATGGGCCGAATGGCCTCCTCTCGTTTGTATAGTTCTTATGTTCTTATGTTCTTATCTTTGGTTTTGCCAGCTTCAAAACAATGTGCTTTGTGATTTATATATTTCTGTCAAAAATTACTGATTGAAAGGTCAAATATCTGCTTCTGATGGCTAAACATTGCTAAGCCAAAAATCTAATTAAATTTTGGCAATTTTAAGGGTATACTTTGACCATGCAGGGTCATCTGGACCAAATGTGTTAATTAAATAATGTACCAGTTTGCAAAGTCTGAGCCTGCTTTGTAGTTTAGTTCTTGAACTACGGACTTGTGAAATTTGTTGAGGCCAAATAAAATCACATCTGTAGTGGTAACAGAGGCACTTCAGGATGCAGCTGTACAGGGAAAAGGTGTGGCAGATGTACACTGTACTACACTAACCTGGTAATGTGTAATGAGGTGCTCAACATTTTCAGAGAAGTGTACCATCAAGCCACAAATCACTACATCTCTACGGTTGTCCACACCAGCATCCTTAATGGAACACAAACAGATCGCATGAATGACATATGAATCTAATAAGTGAAGTAGTCATATGTCTCACAAAATCATTTTATCATATGGATCAATAATTTTTTTAGTTATGTAATTATGAAAATGTGATAAACAGTGCTAGTTCAATATGAATAACACATTTCTGTATTTTAAAATGATTATATTGTTCTTACATTATTTAATAACATTTTGTGGCTCAATGCACTAAAAACTTTGGATAGGAGTCTAAATTGATGCTTGCTTATGGCTTGTTGTTGTCTTTGTCTGAAATCTGAAAGTGTCTCTCTTCATTTCCCAACAGGCAAAATGGACAGTCTGGTTCACTACATTAATCCGGTGCATATCTCCTCCTTATTAAGTCTGCTCAATGAACAGCGATTGAATGGTCAGCTCTGTGATGTGATAATAATTGTGGGTGACCACAAATTTCAGGCTCACAGGAGTGTTCTTGCTGCAAGCAGTGAGTACTTTCAGACCATCTTTAACAGTGGAAACACTCAAGGACAGTCAGTTGTCCAGCTCGATTTTTGTGACCCAGAAGTCTTTGAGAATGTGTTAAATTACATCTATTCCTCTTCACTGTTTGTGAACAAAGGATATCTGGCTGCAGTTCAAGAGCTGGGCTGTAGTTTGGGAATCCAATTCTTGAATAATATAATGGAAAAGAAGCCTCAGGTTTCTTACATTGTGTCTAAGAAGAAGATGTTTTCCGAGGGCAATGAGTGTAACTTTACTTCAAGAAATGTCATTGCTGGCCAGAATCATAGTGACAATCCTGGAAATATTTTTTCTCATATTGAGGCTATACATCTACATGGGAAAACTCCATCAGAACACGCAATAAGAAAGCAGACTGTTCTACCTATTGGAGAATCCAAACAGTTATCTGTAACCTCTTCTGTATCTTTAATTGATTTGCAAATACAGCATAGACAGTTACCCTCAGATACTACAAGCCTCAGTGACAATCCACAGCTGACTGACTGCAAAGAAGCATATCCAGGCAACAGAAACCAAAAGTTTAGGCAGACTGACAGAGTTGGTTTTCTTTTCAAAACTCCTTTGGCCAAATCATTATCAATAGATAATCCTGTATGTACTACTGTATTTCATCTTGATAAAAGAAAAAAAAGAGAATCACCAGTGAAATCCCCTAATATAGAAGCAACCGATCAACTGGGAGATCTTTCTGATGTAATACAGGTCACTGTTGGGGATGATTTGCCTGTTGATGTTAGAAACTCAACAGTGAGCTTTGATGAGCCAAAAGAAATTCCTATGAATGAGGAAGACGAACAAAGAAAGGCAAGATTATGCAGTGAAAGTAGCTCGTTAAAAAAACCAAATGGTGTTAATGAACACAGCTTTTCATCAGAAGGCGCTAGGCCTAGCATCACAGCCGACAAAGCAAACAATGACATGCAGAGGGAGCTAAAACGGAACAGAATTTTCAAATGTCGGAATTGTTTAAAGGTGTTCCGGTCCAGCACTGGACTATGCCGGCACATAAACATGTTTCACAATCTAGAAAAGCCGTATGCGTGTGACATCTGTAATAAACGATTTCACACCAACTTCAAAGTATGGACACATTGCCAGACGCAGCATGGGGTATTGCAAGATCCAGCTCCTACTACTAGCTCCTACATAGGCATGGATGACAGATTGTACAGGAAGTCTGGTAGTTTGGTGCAAGAAAGAGAATTAAAGAAAAGGCCGTGGGGCCTTAAGTCTGGAAGTCTGCAGTCTCAAATAAATCATAAATATCATCTTAGGTCAAGGTCTGTAATCAACACCTGCCCTCAGTGTGGAAATACATACAGGTTATTGTCTCAGTTCAAACGTCATTTAATGTTGCACCATTGTGTGAAATCTGAAATCCTGAATAATGTGAAGGAAGAGTTACCCCAGGCAAATGACCATGGTCTTCATTCTCAGAAGGACAAAAACCAAGATGTGAGTTCTTGTAGTGTCTGCAGTGAGAAATTCTGTGCTAAGTATGAGCAGGGAGAGCATGGGCAAAGATGTCAACCATCAAAGTGTCCACATTGTGGCCCTTTTGACTCCTTCAAAAAGAATCAAACTGAGACCCACTGTGAGTACAAGAACTTGGCCTGCCATGAATGTAAGCGAACTTTCCAGTCCACCTTCAGCTTATGGCAGCACCAAGTAGAGGTTCACAGTCAAAACCTTGAGACCGGAAAGGAACCAGTGTCTGTTTATCATCAGGATCACAACAATGATGCAGCCAGTGGCATGAAAGGTTGTGGTTCTGGAGAAAATGTTGACTTTGATTCTTCTAAGCCAGTGATATTTCATCCTGAGAGCAGTTCCATCAGTTTGCTCTCACTCCAGGAAGAAATAAAGGTGGAGGAGGAGCCATCTAAGGAAAACATTGACAACAGCTGCAACCATGGACCAAAGACCCTTGAGTCTAGCCAGTGGTCATGTGAAAAATGTGGTAGGCATTTCAGTGGCTGTAAGCAACTGGAGCGCCACCAAGAGCTGCTGTGCTACATCAAACCTTTCATTTGTCATATATGCCAGAAATCTTTCAGAACCAATTTCCGTCTCTGGAGCCACATTCAGTCGCACACACCAAATTCTGAGTCAGCATCCAAAAAGAGAAGAAAAGATTTTTCCTCCCATTCCCCATCTCTGCCTCTCCCATCAGAAATTACAGAAAGTGTGTCTGTTGCTATGGGCAGGAAGACGGAGGAAAATGCAGCAGGTGAACTCCTACACAGTGGCATCTTGTGTGACACTCTGAGCCCTTCTAAGCAGTCCGATCAAGTGTGTAACCATCCTCCAGCACCCTCATCCTCTAAGAGGCAGCACATTTGTAAACTCTGTCGTCGCAATTTCAAGACTGCTTTTAGTCTTTGGAGCCATGAGCAAAGTCATTCCAATCATTGAATGTAGTGCATAGCTTTTTGATACATCCTGGATATAACAACGGGCTACCAAATATTTTATTTATTTATTTTCAGTGCTGTTGAATACAGTAAAACATTTTGGAATCCAGTGTTGTCAGTGAGAAGAAAGTCATTCTCATTTTGTAGTGCTTGTTTTCAACCTTATTTTTGGACTCTGACCAAAGTAAACTCATATGTGTTTCTTTACATTGTGTGTAGTATTTGAATTTTGAGTTGTAACGTAAAACAGATTTACCATGAAACTGGCCACACTGATTTAATGCAGTTGTTCAATGAGTTGTTCACAAAAATGTTCATAATTTATGGTACGGTAGAGCCCTTTCTGAATATGCAATTACTGCACTTTGATATTTAAAACATTAAAAATGTCCACTGCTTTTGCACTTGTTTCCCTTAAATAATTCATTCACTAATGTAACATCATTTTCTGAAATGCAGTTAAAGTGGTATTTGATGTTTTTGTTATTTGTGCCTCGTTTATTAATTACGGAAAATAAAGTGCTTTGGACTGAAACTGGTGTGCATGCCCTATCAATTCAAATGGTTTCTGCCGAGGCTAAAGACACAGGGTGTAAAGCAGGGGAACGGCTTGGAAAAGATGCCACTCCACCACAGGCTACATGTGTACAGGGTTGCCATGGGTCACGGAAATCAGAATCATTTTTATTCGCCAAGTACAGAGAAGTACAAGGAATTTCTTTTGGTGCGGGTGGTATCATGACACAAACAAAACACACATACAAATAAACATCTAAAAGTAAAGATACAAGGATTTTTATTTTTTATTTTTACAGGAGATGTGCAATGCTGAGTCAAGCATGTGGACAATATAAATAAAGATTTAAATAAACAGATAATGGATGGATGGATGATTTGTGGAATATCATGGACTTTTAAAAAGTCTATATTCCAGACATGGAAAGTCAGGTGAGTGGATCATTTTTTGGGCCAGGGAATTTTGTTTCTTATTATTTTGTTTGTTTTGTTTGTTTCTTATTATTATGAATTATTTTTCTTAATTAGGTTATTTCCCACGTTTCCAATATTGCATAAGTGGCTGTTATTGGTTACTTGATTTTTTGATGCCCATTTATTCCCTCCCCACCCATTAACAATTGGCAGTTACTTCAGTCAAGATATGCAGTGTCCTGTATCTGCTAACAATAGCAAACATTCCCAGAAAATGTACATTTCAAGAGCTTTGGCTACAAAGTGTTAAGAGAATATGACAGATAGGCTAAATGTAAAGTTCATAAAACTACTGTTGATCTATTAAATATGAGAGTACAAACAGTAATTGATAGGTCTGCTCAGCACAAAGGTAGCCTGTTTCATTATAGGTCATGGAAATTCAGCTATTTAGTCAGGAAAAGACTTTTTAGTCTATTGAAAGTCACAGAAAAGTCAGGCAATTTGACATTAAGCCGTTTTCACACATGAACTCCAAACATTGTCTAGAGAATCAGGTCTGGACCTTTTCCGGAGTTGCCCTTTCACACACGTGGCATGCAACTAGAGATTTTCTGTATCCGATACATTCATACCAACTAAAAATACTCCCATTTGGTTTGACGAGTGGCGCTTGGGTAGAGCATACAGGAGGTAGGGCATAATGCCAAAAGTACACTTCAGAAATCACATTGTTTTGTTTACAGCACTGCTGACAGAACTTCCTGTCATCTCTCCAGTTATTGATGTCCATTGGAGTCTTCTTTGTTTCTTCTTCACTGTCTTTTTCTTCCCTTGTTCAACCTTGGCTGATTGTATTGTTCCATTTTCATGCCAGTAACATGATGGAATCATATGGGCACCAATATACCCACTCACTTGCAGTGAATTCTCTGGCCAGTTTCCTGCTCCATTCGCACAAAGGGGTCAATCAGCAATTACCTGGAGAGCTAGCAAGGTAAAGTCCGTTTACTGTCCAGTATGACTGATTTTGTAGCAGGTTCTTAGCCAGTCAGATTTCTCAGAGCAAATCTGCTTTTATTCTGAAGGATTGTTTTTCTTCCTGCCAGAGTTTTAGCTAGGCTACATGTGTCTTGGTGGTAACCGGATATTGTTTTTCCTTCTTTTGAGAGTAATAAAGGGTTTGAAGAAATTGCTTCTTGGCTTGCATCTTACCACAATTTGGACATTTGCAGTTTAGAAAAAACAGGGGCAGTATGGAGAAAACCTCTCAGAGTAATGTTTCACTCTTAAGTGTATCAAAATTGTAAGATTGATGTGATTTTGCTCTTACTGTCAGAATTAAGAATAAATGGCATACATAAAGGTTTTTAAGTGTTAAGACTAGGTCTAATAATTTAAGAAAGTTGGATAAGTATCCTAAACCAGTTAGGAGTTGGAAGATGGCAGCATTACACACACCGTGACAGAAACCACACACTTTCCAGCAAAGAAAGGATGTCCTGCAATTATATGATGATAATGAATTGTTGAAAAGATATAGGCATTATTTTTGTCAGTCTCTTGACCTAATAAGAGGTGCAATACAACCTACTTCACGTAACAATGCACTAACTGCAGAAATGAAGGTGATAATGACCCTTCATTTTTTGGCAACCAGGAAAATGCAGCAGTGCTTCACTGATGACTGTGGTCCATCACAGTCCACAGTGAGTAAATAAATACTACTCTGGTGGCCCTGATGGCACCGAATATAGTGAGGCAGTTCATCGATTTTCCAATGGACATCTAAACCCTACAGCAGTAGCATGCTGCTGTTATGAGAATTGCAGGCTTCCCTGGTGGGTGTGGTTGGAGTCATCGATAGCACGCGTGTGCATAATAGCTCCATCTGTACATGAAGACAAATACGGAAACAGAAAAAGATACCACAGTATCAATGTTCAAGTTGTGTTTGTTACTAATTATACAATTTTGGACCTTGTGCCAAAATGGCCAGGGACCATGCATGATGCCCACATTCTTTCTGAAAGTGGCCTCACTGCCTTATTTGATCAAAATATTGTACTTCCTGGGTGTTATCTCCTGGGTGACTCAGGATACCCATTAAAGTGCTGGTTTCTCACTCCTTAGAAGAGCACAGGGGGAACAACAAAATTATAACTGGTAAGTATAGAAATACATGCAATAAATGTCTATTTAATCACTATTGCAAATGTAGTTCACACAAGGCTGCAAAACCTGTGGCAATTCCTGTTCTTCACAGAAAAATTAGACATTCCCCTCTTTGTGCAGGTCGCATCACTACAGCTTGTAGTATATTGTAGAACATTTGCAAATTTTGCAATCTTCCACTGCTGGGTGATGATGACAGTGATGATGACAGCGACAATGATTCTGATGAGATTAATGATACCACCAATGACATGCAGATTGTTTCAGACAGAGCATCAATAAGAGACTGCTTTGCCAACATTCATTTTGGTTATGTAAAGCTGGCTGTAAATGATGCACCATGCAAATCATTTACACATTCTGTTATTTAGAGCAACACAGCACATGTATTTAGACTGTGTTCTTTAATATTGTGAGTTTTTCTAACAAGCTTTTTTCTAATTTAAGTTTTTTTCTTTGTAGGAACTCAATGTCATCCTCAGGGTCACTTCCTGTGCTCTGCACTAACCCTCTGTCATGTGAGGGAGAAGGTTCGACTGGAGGGCAGGAGAAGGCGTCTTGGCACATTTGAGGAGATGACACATCGAATGAACCGGCATCAACATCACCTGCACTACACTGATATGAGGAATAAATAAACCTTACAAATGGAATAAAAGTGTCAAGTCCATTTAATACACGTTGATTAAAAGTTGCTACTGTTCTTTTATAACATGAGTCATCCCATTGTGTTTATTACATACCATTTTTGAAACTCCTACAGTTTCAGCAGTGCAGGATCTTGGGCACCTGCAATGCAACAAATGAATTCATTTGTTGAGCCCAAGATCTCTACTATTTCTGCCATTTCAGAGAGGTTTACATGGAGGACCCCCCGCCTGTGTGTTAACAAGAGAAACATTAGGGAAACATTAAACTAACAATCATTATAACAAAAGTGATGTGAGGTATATAAATAATGAAAGAAACCTCTGGCTTGCGTGCTTTCTTTGTAAGCTGCTCTTTCCTTAGGCGAGGTAGATAAAACATGCCACCTACCTCAGCCGAACGCCTAGTATGAGGAAACCCAGCATTTATGGAGCTTGCAATGGCTTGGCAAGCATTTTTTTTGTATTTGCTTGTAACAGTTGGGCCAAATTTTCCTCGCACTACCTTCTTCTATTTAAGCACCAACTGTCCCAAGAGGACCGTTTCATTCTTTGCCTAGTTTGGATTCCTTTTAGAATCCATTTTTTGAGATTACTTCAGTCTTTGACTGTCAGGGTCAGCACCCGTCTGCCCCAACCTTTTGTGTCTGTGTTGCTGGCCACCCTGTCCTCCCTGTGTCTTTCAAGTCCTTAGTGTGTTACTGCTGCTCCACAGATTGCTGTGTGGTCTTATGGGCTGAGCGTGCGGCTGTTAGTTGTGTGTTCAAGCCCAGTCACCTCTGTTTTTGTGTTTAGTAGATTTTGTTCCCTAGCATTTCCTTTGTATCCTAGTTCCTGAGTTTATGGTTGCATTCAGTTTTTGGTGTTTGCTTTGTGTCCTTGGTTGTGTTTTACCTGTCCTTCTTGTTTTCCCAGTGTTAGATTCTGTTCCCCAGTTTCTCTCAACTCACTCGAGAAGAAAGCAAGGCAGGCACATATGGTGCGTTTGATTATCTCTCCGAAGTCGTAAATTCTGAGGTGCATGATGTCACGTCTCACCAATCTTCCATTTGAGTTCCACATCTTGGAACAAACATGGCTGCCTCCACAAACATGTTGTTGTTGTGTGTTGTTGCTTATATTTTAGCAGATTTGGAGATCAGTAGAACATGCATTAATTAGTCAGCAATTTCATTTTGTGGGGGAGGGCTTGTTTTGAAATTCTTCTATTTGTTGGCTTTCATTAAATACCACAACAAAAATACTTTTGTCACAATTGCAATCATTACATCCACATCCCCTTGCCTCTCCATTTCTAATTGCACTGGAAGATCAATGCACCCCTCCAGGCTAGTTATGTTAGTGTCTACGTGACCAAGCAAGCTGTGCACCACAGGGGCTGTAGGTGATAGTGCCTTTGGTGCTGATCTTCCCCCTTAACAAAAGCATGAACATTTTCAGCAATCACTGATCACTGCCAATAGAGCATAATATTTCTAATAAAACTTATATGTATGTATGTATGTTTATCCATTTTGTTTATATATGAAACTATGTACATGACAACAACGAAGACAGGTTTGACAATTGCCTTTGAAATCCATCAAGCCATGTAATAGATGTACCTGTAGCAGAACTTGCTCATTTGAAGGCTGCGATTTTTGCTCGCGACTGCGACTGTAGTGCGTACCACTGCTTCTTGCAGTCATCAGCTGTCCTGTGCATGAGTGGGTCTGCTGCATTTATATGAAAGCTCATTTCTTCCCAAGCTTTGCTTTGGAGGTTATGACAGGTCCGAATTTGC